ACATGAAAAGAGCATCAGAAAAGCATAAATGCGTAGTAAAATCAAAGTCTAAGGCGTTGCAACACTTTAAAAGTTGACCCTGTCTTCAAAATTGATCACTTTATACAACCACACTAAATCTACATTGGTAAGCGATAATATCTGAAGACTGTTTTTTATTCTGGTTTTGATTGTATACAAAGCTTTTAACAAATTACAAATTTACAACTTATCAAGGAGAATCATTTTAATTGATTAATTCTCTTGACTTGACTTGACTACGTCTTCCCATGGATGGAGTATTTGTGGTCCTACGCCCATCTGTTCTACTGCCCATCCAACCTACAAGCACGTGGGTTTACAGCTGCTTGATGCACTTGTGGCCCCTAGCATATTATAGCGGCAACGCTCGGCCTCCTAGCCGCAGCGCTTGGCCAATATATTGTCTCAACCTAACCTAAGCCTCAAATAATAAAAAAAATAAACAGCTGTCGTAGGCTGGATGTTGCAATAGGTCAGATAGGCAGTAGAGCGATTCAACATTACCCTACCCATGTTGTTCCAACACCTTGATTTAAATCAAAATTGAATTTTATAGTCCTCTTCTTTGTATTAATATAATTGCTAAAGAAATTTGTCTTTAAATCAATGCTAAAATCGATTATATTGTTTTCATTATTATATTAAATTTCTAATTTTCTTTGAATTTATTCGCAGATTTCTTCAAATTCTTCAAATGTCTTTTCAATAATAATTCTAGAAAATCTGCGAAAATCTTTGTGAATAATAAGAAACCAGAATATTGTATTGATATAATCAAATACTACTGTATCTCCAATCCATTTTAAAGGTAACAAAATGGTAGACCACATTTTGGAAATCCCAGGGCCAAATGTAAAAAATGTAATGCCACACAATTATGTTTACAAACAAAGACGATATTTATGTTTATATGTTTACTATGTTTATATATATTTATTTTTCTCATTCAAAAACTAAAAAGTATAAATTCTACATTTTTTAGATCTAATTCCACATTTTTTTAGATCAAATTCTTCATATTTTAGATCAAATTATACATTTTTTAGACCTAATTCTATTGTTAAAACTGAAGGATCTTTCTTCATCTATATTCTACATTTTTTAGATCGAATTCTTCATATTTTAGATCAAATTATACATTTTTTAGACCTAATTCTACTGTTAAAACTGAAGGATCTTTCTTCATCTATATTCTACATTTTTTAGATCGAATTCTTCATATTTTAGATCAAATTATACATTTTTAGACCTAATTCTACTGTTAAAACTGAAGGATCTTTCTTCATCTAAATTCTACAATTTTTAGATCTAATTCCACATTTTTTGATCAAATTCTTCATATTTTAGATCGAATTCTTCATATTTTAGATTGAATTATACATTTTTAGATCGAATTCTTCATATTTTAGATCAGATTTTTTAGACAAAATTCTACCATAAATACAGAATTCTGTACTTCCAATATAATTTCTGCATAATATTTTAGATCAGATTCCACACTTTTTAGATCAAATTCCAAAAATTTTCAGAAAAATGCGGATTTAGATCTAAAAAATTATTTTAGATCAATTTCCACGCTTTTTAGATTAAATTCTCATTAGATCAGATTACTCTTAGATGAAATTCCTTTTAGATCAAAAGGTTCATAGATTAGTTTCCCGAACAGGGAGTTAAGGGAAATAAAATGATACAAAGGAATCTGTATTTGGTACAAATCTTTCCTTATCCACTGCAAACTGCATTTTTGCGACATCACTGGTGTGACTTTATGACCACGTAGCTCCGCTAGTTTTCATATAACGCTAACGCTCTTCTGTTACATATTCAATAAATTTTTTTCTCTTCTCAATAGCTTTTCAAGAGTAAGGTGAGGGGTTTAAATCTATGTATAGACGGGTGGGGGGTGGGTCTTGGAGTAAAGATATGAAGTTGCACTAAGTAAGACATATGGTCAAAGCCCAATTTTTTAAGGCCAGCTCATTAAAAGATTAGACCAACTTTCAAAGTTCGGGTATCATGGGGAGGTTTATAAAAATGGCAAGGTTGTAATTATGCAAAAAGTAAAAAATTTTGCATTTGAGGGATAAAACATTCATCATATTCTACTCCTTGAATTTGGATGCAATTATTTGGATGCATAATTCATAAGGTTTAGATATTTCGAGAGGAATGAGCGGAAGCATTTTTTGAAAGGAAACTTTTCTAAGAAAAATCTAGCTGCGCTTTTAAATTTTGATGTTATTGAAATATTAACAATATATAAAAATATTCTTTAAAATTCTCAAATATATATTTTACAAATATCTATTTTAGATATTTTACATTATCTCAATATTTGGACAGAACAATACAGAAATAGTAAAACCTATATTTGAAGTGTATTGGGACAAATATAAATTTAATCGACGAAAAATACATTTTTCTAAAAGAAAGAAATGGGGAAGAAAAAACTGAAATTTTCTTATGTTTGAATAAGGAAGGAAGGCCATCCAGAACAATTTCTCATTCGAGCCACATTCTTTTCATTCGAGCCACATTCTTTTCATTTACTCGTTTTTGTATTTTAAAGTGTCCAATCCTTGAAAAGATAAAAATATAAAAAACATCTAAAACTTTTTCGAAATTACAACAACTACAATCTTGTCAATATTTTAAGGTTTTCGTTCTTGAACGATTGAGTTGATTAATTTAGAATTCCAACCATATAAGTTGAAAAACGTACTTGTTAGGGTTTTCTGAAAAACAAACCCCAATATTAAAGGAAAAATACAGAATAACCCGCAAAATATAAGATAGTAACCTAGCATAATAGAATAGGACGATTCGTATACATATTATATATATATATGTATGCATATGTATATATGTATATAATATAAGATAGTAACCTTGTATAATATGACGATTCATATAATTGCTTACAAAATGATTTCGCCAGAAAAGGAACAAAGGAATTGAGTCTTTGTCACAAACTATTATTTTCTAATCTCTATATTTTTGTAACCCAATGCAGTAGACCTTAGTAGTTCAAACTATGAATTCTGTTGGATGAAAAAATCTAAGTTTGAAATATGAAAGGTTTACACCATCAGGTGGGAAAAATATAGGTATTAGAAAATCAGAGTTTGTTACAAAGACTCAATTCCTTTAGAGTTGCAGAGATTATTTTATTTTGTGACCCTGTAACTGTAAGAGAAAATTATTTATTTTATTTTTATTTATTTATTTAATCTGAACCAATTTTTTCTTTAAAAAATGTAGGGTTTGAATTGTGGTTTTTAGATGTGATTTTCAATAAAGTTCAAAACTCTAAGAAATGTTCAATACTTCCAATATTCAATTTTAGTCTTAAATTCTTATGAAGGTCTTTCTTTTTAAATAAAATTCTGATAAACACAAAATGGAACTGAACATAAAAAAATGTACACTTGCCTCAAATTCTAGTTTTTCTAATCCTTTTATTTGTTCAACCTAATGTTGTGGACCTTTCAAACTATACATTCTGTGTAATCAACTATAGTCAAGGTTTGAGATAAAAAAGTTGCAAATTATAATATTTTTTAATGTTAAGTTAAGGCCCTTACAATTATTTGTTTCCATTAGTAATTAAGTACAATAAAAATACCCACCCACCTCTCATCAATCTTTTCTAAAATTAAAATGCCCCCCCCCCTCCCTTTTCCCTGCAACATATTTTATTATTTCTGCAGCAATCAAATCTTTCTTATTTTATTACTATTCCTTAAAATTAATTTCTAGAACATACTTTGTATAAAATATAATAAAAGGTTAGCTTTTTGATTATTTTCAATTCATTCCCTATCGTTTGTTAATTACCAATTCTTAGGGCTGGGCACGTTTCGATAACGCGTTAACGATTTTAACCGTTCTTTTCAAGCAATTCCCGTTCCGTTCTTTTACTAGTCGTTCCAATATCTTTCAGAACGCGTTCTAAGCGTTCGTTTTTTTTTCGGAACGATGGGATCGTTCTTGATCGTTCCGTTCGCTCTCGGGAAAGAAAAATCGTTCCACCAGGAACGAGCTCAGTCCTACCAATTCTAATATTCTATTTCGTTCGTTTTTATACTAAACATTAACTAAATTAATCTAATTGTTTGTTAGTAAATCTTTCGTTAAGTAAAAGGTTAGTTTAGGTCAGGGTATATTAGTTGAGGTTTGAAAATAAAATGAAAAAGTTCACAAACATTTTCTGAATTGTTTGTGAACTAATTCTAAAATGAGAATTTAGAAAGCTTTTGTACACAATCTGACAGGAAAAAATGTGAATGGTAATTAGAAATTTTAAATCACTCGTTTTAGTTGTTCGTTTTAATTTGTTTGTTACTTGTTTGTTTATTTTTCTCATTCTCCAATCTCCTTAAATTTTGATTGTTAACAAAATCGAAGCCCATCTCTAGTTTAGATACAATTAATGGGAAAGCTGCTGAACTAGCTAGCTCAACGTTTTTGTGCGATTTTGAATATAACTGCTGAAAATTGAGACATTTAAAATTAAGACAGATAAACAGTGGTTATTGTATATATACTATGCAAAGTAAAAAGGGGTTGGACCTGTCGAATTTTGGCAGAATTCATAAGGCTCACAATATATGAAACGTTCGATATATAACATCACAAGTTGATAATTGAACTAGAAACCCCCAAAATAATGGGATATCTGAGAAATAATTAAACAATCTCAAATCCTCATCACATATGTTTACACATTCTATCATGTCTAAATCATGATAAAATCCGTATACCATCAACAAGGTTCTGAGATTGAAACAAAATGGGCTTTTATCTCCACTTGCGTAGACATTGAAACTTGTTGTACAAGCTGTACAATTCATATTTCAGCCCCCTTCCTATATTAGAAGAACCCTGCAAAGAAGGATGAATGCACAGAAAACTTGATTGCAAACATTTACTGTACACACTGTACACCGTACTGCAGTTTCCTCTGAGCCAGATTTAGGTCTCAGTTGACGAAAGTCTGCTGCTTGGTAAATCATAATTAATATTCAGGTATATAATATACAAATTAAAGCCCATTTTACATAAATCGATATTACAAGATTATACTTTTATATTCTTGATGTTTTCTATCGTTTCAGGGTACATGGCCAATCGTCGTTAATATTATTCTACTATTTAGAATCACCGGTATATAGAGGCAGAGTGGGCGTTTCCTCTCTCCCCCTCCCCCTTCATACTTCATCTCTCTGCGTCCTGATAGTTTGATGTTAGAAGCAATGACGAACTCGCCAACCCTCTTGGAAAGGTCAAAGTCGTTTTTATGTCATCTTACATTGAAATAAATTATTGTACAAATTTATTGCACAGCTGTATTTTCTCTATCAGTGAATGCACAGAATTATTCTGATTTATTAAAGAGATTTTTACGTGTAGAAAAGGTTACCCTCTCAAAACAAAATCTTTATGACAAAAGTAATTGGTTTATTTTTTGAATTGAACTCATAAACTTCTCAAAATACTTCGAAGATTAGCTCGATTGAATATAGTTTTTTCAAGATCGTTTAAGTACATGCTACTGCGCTGCCTCCCTTTTTTGAGGAATGTTTAATGCAGATAATTTATTAACTCTTAGACCTAATGTTTGGAATTATACAGGTTACTTAGTTGCAAAATTTGCCAGGACTTAAGTACTTACAGAAACTCAAATGAACTTTTACTAAAAAAAGGAATGCTATATGTAAAAGAAAAATATTTCTTCATAAACATAAGTTTGCGGTATTCATATAATGATGATATTTCATAATATTTTTTAAATGTTTCATTTATACTTTGAAGGACGTTTATTAGGCCGACAAAAAAATCGGCGTTTAAAGTACATCGTATATGAAACTTAAGTAAAAAATAAAATGAATTATCAACTATATACAAATGCGTCGAAAAATTAACGATGATTATATGGTTGCAATATTTGGATGATTTGTTTGAAATAAAATTGATTTTTTACGATCCCAGTCAAATGCTGCATCCATATTTTTTTGACGTAAGCCTATATATATATATACCCCCTTTCATTTTTCGTAAACACTCCCTTTAGATAGCCTTTTATTCCATGATAAATCACAAGGTTAATTGATAAAGTTCCACTGAGTTGAATATTTTTATAGATTGCCTGATATCTTCACTAGGATAATAAAGACAATTTCCAAACTATTTATGACGCAAAAGAGATTTTTATTCTTAGAAGGAAAACAAACTGGGCTCTGTCAAGTTATATAAATCAATTCTGTTATAAAAACACTTATTGTTTATTTTCTCAGTGTTTTCTTTAAATTCACAAATTAAATTTCAATTTTGATTCTAAACGTTTGAATAAGAACATCGTCAAAATCAAGGTTATATTGCAAGCAAAGTTATTTCAGAGGTGCACACATCTTTTGTACTGCAGTGTACTGTCTCTGGGCAGTAATGCACACACAAGACAGATGTCGAAGCCTTACATGGGATCCATCTTTCACATAAAAAAAAACAATTAAATATTCTTGTTATAGGAAACTATTACGTGAATTTTAACCTCCTTGGATACTAAACGAACACTGATGCATCTATTCTTGTTTACAAATTCTACCCAGAGAGAACTGGTTTTAATATGTATGCAGAGTATACACAACTGCAAATAACTTTCCTTGAATTAGTACCTTGGTCAAAATAAGATATATAGGGTCAGAGTGATCCAAATTAACGAGAATTTTGCAAATTACTTCTTTAAAACTAAAAGCTTAAAACAAAAAGTATAAGTTATTGAAAAAACCTTACAATAAAAAAATGCATTGACGCATTTAATGCATTTAAGAATATTCAGTAATTAAAAAAAATTGACAGCTGTAAAATGTTTTATACTTGGTATCTCTGGAATGTTTCATTATAATTATAACAAATTAGGTGGCTATGGAACTCTATTTATAATTCATTATTTGGAATAAAAAATTCATTTTGAAAGAGAAACTTTTTCTTTCTTCTGAAAAAATGCATAATTTATGTTCTACAATTCCCTGATTGAAATATGAAAAGGTTAGGCTAGGTATCCAAGGGCGTACACAGGATCCAGGTGGGGAGGGGTTATTTTCCAAAGGGGCGGGGAGTGGCTCAGTTGGGGCCTGTGTGGACTAGTCGGTTTTTACAATCGACACTCTGAGTGGTTGCATTTTAGATACTTTCCTGAATATTTATTAATAAAATGAGGATATCTAGCATTGATCTCGATATCCCAGCTCTCAATGCTTTATTCGAACCATAATTTTGTAGGTCTTATATCTTTACAACCTGATGTAGTAGATATTATAATTGATTTTGTGAATTTTGCTAAATAAAGAACACATAGATTAATCTACAGGGTGTCCCAATAAACATGGGAATTCAGTGATGAATTCGATATCGTCTTTATAAATAATTATTTAATTTAGTATAGTGATACCTACTGAGAAAGCTATAATCTGTAAGAGTTCCGTCTGCTATGTTCACAATTGGTTTATTTATGTTTTGACTGCATAATGGTGTACTTAGTATCAAGAAAATTCCTTATACAAACAGAGTAAACTTGTCCGTCTTCACTGTTCATCTTGCGGAGACATTATAGACTCATCTTTACAGTCATTTACCCTTTTCATAAAATAAACTATAGCAGACATAATAATATTATGGCTTTTGAAATTAGGTATTACAATGCTAATTGATAACAAAGACGATATCCAATTCGTCACTGAATTCCCATGTTTTTGGGACACCCTGTAAAATATCAAAGGTTTGCGCCATTTGATTTAAATTGCTTTATCATTCGAGCGTAAAGGTTTATGGTTGTATTCAATTATTCCTTAAAAACTAAAGTTTGCAACCAAAGATTCTTAAAACCCCTGTTCCCTGGTATTTACAAAATGTGGTCTAATATTTATACTTATTTTAAAGTTACTGGAGATTTGAAAAAAATCTTTCAGACTTTAAAAAGGCATTCAAAATTGTATTCAATATGTTTGTAATTGTTCTCGAAATTCCTTGCAGTAAGTCTGAGGACTACTTTATAGATAATTGGAAAATACAGAAAATTTGATTTTGTTAAGAAAAACAATTTAACTTTAAGTTATGTTTTTATGAAAAGGTTATTGAAGTCAATATTGTACCGGTGTGATAATGTAACTTTTAAAATGATTCAAATATAAAAAATGTTCACTAATATAAACTTTTGAAAACACTAACCATTCCAGAACCATTCTTTTCGAATTATTCTGCGCACAGTTAAAAAAATTTGAATGTTTGTTTTCTTGAAAAAAGCACATATTTACATTCTGCAAAGATATAGGTGTTTTAAAATTCAAGTTATAAGCCAAATATTTAATATATTTAACATTTTTTTTTAACAATTTGATGCATTACCAAATTTCTTGTGCTCTGGTGTAAGGGTAAATATGTTCTGGTATTTGTATTATCCTAATTCTATAGAAAATATAAAAATTTCTCCAATGTAACCATCAATTCCTATTAGAATTCCCAAACCATATTATAGGGGAGAAACATTTATCCTTATAATTGAAAACAGAGATGCACAATTATATTATAAAGAAAGTCTAAAGCTAGCTTTATCTTGTTAAATTTAGAAACATTAAACTAACAATACACTATTGAATACAGAGATATTATATTATACAGAAAGTCTAAAACTAGCTCTATATTGTTAAATTTAGAAACATTAAACTAAAAATACACCTGCAGTAATAATAATATTGAATACAGAGATATTATATTATAAAGAAAGTCTAAAACTAGCTTTATTTTGTTTAATTTGGAAACATTAGACTAACAATACACCTGAAGAAATAATAATATTGAATACAGATGCACAATTATATTATACAGAGTGTCTAAAACTAGCTCTATATTGTTAAATTTAGAAACATTAAACTAAAAATACACCTGCAGTAATAATAATATTGAATACAGAGATATTATATTATAAAGAAAGTCTAAAACTAGCTTTATCTTGTTAAATTTAGAACATTAAACTAACAATACACCTGAAGTAATAATAATATTGAATACAGAGATATTATATTATACAGAGTGTCTAAAGCTAGCTTTATCTTGTCAAATTTAGAAACATTAGACTAACAATACACCTGAAGTAATAATAATATTGAATACAGAGAGATATTATATTATAAAGAAAGTCTAAAACTAGCTTTATCTTGTTAAATTTAGAAACATTAAACTAACAATACACCTGTAGTAATAATAATATTGAATACAGAGATATTATATGATAAAGAAAGTCTAAAACTAGCTTTATCTTGTTAAATTTAGAAACATTAGACTAACAATACACCTGCAGTAATAATAATATTGAATACAGAGATATTATATTAAAGAGAGTGTCTAAAACTAGCTCTATCTTGTTAAATTTAGAAAACTCGTGATTTCCATTATTTCGTATTTTCAATTTAATGTTTTTTGTTAATGATAAAAGTTAAAAAGCTTTGCTACAATGAAACATTGCAATTTTTATTTCTACCAAATACTATTTATAAAAAATAAATATGAATGAATTAATATATAATAAGAAATGTATAAAGATATAGTTTAATGTATGAATAAATAAAATAGATAAATGAAAAGATCTGAATATATAAATTTAGAATATAATTAAATGAATAAATATTAACTTTTTTCTAGAGGATTATGACTGATAATATCTTTTTCAGTTCTAAAGAAATTAATTCAACTTCTCTTAAAGCTGTTTTCTTTATGCCTTATCATCAATACTCATAATTATATGAAAAAGAAAAAGAGGGTTCACTTAAAGTACCAGACTTTCAGGAAGCTATACCTATTTGTAAATATTACGTACACACACATCATAGACAGCCAAACGGTACAGTATAAATATACACCTGACATAGGTTTAAAATGCAATAAAGTTATAATGATAATTGTGTTGAATAAACAGTAAATATTTCACAATTCTGCCAAGATTCTTTGCGTTTCTTTAAAGTTTCTGAGACTAATTTCTTTTTACATGTGTTTATTTTCATTTTAAAATAAGTTTTACATTTCAAAAAATCTAATTGAGCAAATGTTGATTTTAGATAAAAAACATTCGAAAACATCATTAATAAAGCGTATAAAGAGACTAAGGAGGGGGTGGGGGTTCAGCTCACATCTAGCTAAAACAGTGAAATATTTTTCACGGTGATTTTATTTTCATATTTTTAAAAAAAATTACAATTTTAAGGCGACTTGTAATACATGTTTATAATGCAAATAATCATTTTTTTCCAATAATCTAATTAACCGTGTTGCATTATCTGTATAACCCCCCCCCCTGAAAGGGTAATATGCACTTCTGAATATACTCCGGTTATTAATTAACATTTTGATGTCTTTTTCTTAAATTCTGAATCTGCTGTATCATTCATGTATCCTGCAATAATTTTGAAAAAAAATCAAGATATCTCCATAGCCTAATACTGCATTCAGCTAGGTTCAATGTGATCCAGGAGCACCCCCTAGGACATGTACAAGTCAAAATGTTGAGTTGGAACAGTGAAATCTTTAGTTTCCAGGGGGTGTCAGGCCCCAATGTCTGCTGCGTCCCCCTGGCCAATTTCTGTTTATGCTTTTGTCACCTAGTTCAATTCCACAAACCTTTATTATAATAATAACTATTTAAAGCAATCTTACTTTAGAACGCTGTAATAAATTGTTTAAGGCAGAAATGTAATTTTTATGGATGGAGGCCACGCCTTTTAGATAAAATTTTGTCCCGAGCTATACCCTTAGGTAGGGGAAGGAGTGACATTATTCTGTGACTTTAATTTGAAAGTTATATCTATAATTACATCTAGATAGAGACAATTGTAAGGTATATTGTAAAGTTTTCCAGTTTAATTTAAACAAGTATGTATATAGAGGTACTAGAGTTGAATACTAAGTAATCTAGAAACCAAGAATATACCAAGACAAAAGAATACTTAGATCCAGCCACCCTGAATTCACTAGGTGCATATCAGGGAGTAAGGAATAGAAGGGAGATATAACTGACGCAGTTCGCCACACCATATGATTATACATGCTTTGCAGACGAGTACTCCATTTGTATAAGAAGTATTTGTCTGATGTACATTTACTGCGTATACAATAACCTATTCTGAACATTTCATATACAAATGGAGTACTCGTCTGCAAAGCATGTATAATCATATGGTGTGGCGAACCGCGTCAGTTATATCTCCCTTCTATTCCTTACTCTCTGGTGCATAACTACAGTACAATAGCTATAGACTGCCCGGTACCCATTTCAGCAAATTTTAATTACAACGTTAGTTTCTTTTCCATTAAAATTTTGATTCAAATTATTTATCTATAGGACAAAATTACAAGTTCGTATAGAGAAAAAGCTTGGTTCGTTTGTTTCGTGGTTTTTGTCTTTTAAAAACATACGAAGGCTCTGTATTTGTGGAGATTCCAATATTTTAAATGGCAACATACGAAGGCTCTGTATTTGTGGAGATTCCAATATTTTAAAACTATATTCTGCAAAAGTCTGCAATTAGTTATCAACTAATGCTCAATGTTTATCTCAAGAAAAATTAACACTCTGTTTTTTAGCTCATGGTGAAAATTTGGCATCGTATAAAGCATGCAAATGTTTTGAATAAACAGTTTGAAAGGTTTAACAACAAAAGCCCTCTTAGAAAAAAAAAAAAATAACTGATAGAAACACACAAAGGTGTTTATAAGATGAAAAGTTGAAAAGATTGAAGAAAAGAAACCTAAACAAAGATTAATGATACGTAAACATTTTCATTCTAGTTTCAAAACTATTTCAAGCTTTTCTTTTTCTTCTATTTATACTTTATTTTCAATGTAAAAAGGCATACAAATATATATGTTTGGGCCCCTGGGGGGGGGGGGTAGGGGGGGATTTGGGAAAACTTCTCTTTGTGAATATAACTTAAAGGGACAATCTTAATTTCATGTCCTCCGTGTAGGATCCGTGTTTAAATCACAGGAATCAAACCTTAAAATCTTTAACTGAACAAGAATAAATGAGAATAAATGAAAATATATGATAATATATCAGAATAAATGAGAACAAATGAAAATATATGAGAATAAAAAGAATACCTGAGAATAAAGAGAATATATGAGAATAAAGAAAATATATGACAATATATGACAATACAGAAAATATATGAGAATAAAGAGAATAAATGAGAATAAATGAGAAAAAATGAGAAAAATGACAATATATAAGAATAAATAAGAATAAATGAGAATAAATAAGAATAAATGAGAATAAATGAGAATATATGGGAAAAATGAGAATATATAAGAATAAATGAGAATGAATGAGAATAAATAAGAATAAATGAGAATAAATGAGAAAAATGAGAAAAATGAGAATATATAAGAATAAATGAGAATGAATGAGAATAAATAAGAATAAATGAGAATAAATGAGAATATATGAGAATACATGAGAGTAAATGAGAATAAATAAGAATAGACGAGGATTTATGAGAATATGAAAATAAATGAATATAAATGAGAATAAATAAGAATAAATGAGAATATTTATGAGAATAAATGAAATTATATAAGATATTCATTTATCTTTATACAGTAATTGTGAGAAAATTGTAAAATAAAATAGACAATAATTTCCACACATTATTGTTCAGATGAAGTTGTGAAGGGTACCACTCTGAATCGGAAATGCTAGTCTACAACTATCGAGTCACTTGAAATTACGTCTACAGTCACTTTAGAGAAGTAATTGGTACTTGAAAGTTCTTGTGGCAGTGTGGTTGACATAAATTATTCAATTTCCCACCATCTGGTCTACTTCATTGTATTTCTTTTTATCTTTTTAAAACAAAGGTGCAACTAAGTGTGACTAGGGAGACTAGGGAGACTAGATAGACTAGTAAGTCTAGTGAGACTAGGGAGACTAAAGAGACTAAAGAGATTAGGTAGACTAGGGAGACTGGGGAGACTAGGAAGACTAGGGAGACTAGGGAGAATAGATAGACTAGTAAGTCAACTGAGACTAGGGAGACTAAAGAGATTAGGCAGACCAGGGAGACTAGGGCGACAAGGGAGACTAGGGAGACTAGGGAGACCAGGGAGACTAGGGAGACTAGGGAGACTATGGAGACTAGGAATACTAGGGAGACTGGGGAGACTAGGGATACTAGGGAGACTAGGAATACTAGGGAGATTAGAAAGACTAGGGAGACTAGGGAGACTAGGGAGACTAGGAAGACTAGGGAGACTGGGGAGACTAGGGAGACTAGGGAAAATAGATAGACTAGTAAGTCTAGTGAGACTAGGGAGACTAAAGAGATTAGGCAGACTAGCCAGACTAGGGAGACTAGGGAGACTAGGGAGACCAGGGAGACTAGGGAGACTATGCAGACTATGGAGACTAGGAATAATAGGGAGACTAGGAATACTAGGGAGACTAGGGAGACTAGGGAGACTAGAGAGACTTGGGAGACTAGGGAGACTAGGGAGACTAGGGAGACTAGGGATACTAGGGAGACTAGGGAGACTAGGGAGACTACGGAGACTAGGGAGACTACGGAGACTAGGGAGACTAGGGAGACTAGGGAGACTATGGAGACTAGGGAGACTAGGGAGACTAGAGAGGCTAAGGAGACTAGGGAGACTATGGAGACTAGGGAGACTAGGGAGACTAGGGAGACTAGGAAGACTAGGAAGACTAGGGAGACTAGGGAGACTAGGGAGACTAGGCAGACTAGGCAGACTAGGCAGACTAGGGTGACTAGGGAGACTAGGGAGACTAGGCAGACCAGTGAGACTAGGGAGACTAGGGAGACTAGGAAGACAACAAAGACTAGGAAGACTAGGGAGACCAGGGAGACTAGGGAGACTAGGGAGACTAGGGAGACTGGGGAGACAAGAAAGACTAGGAAGACTAGGGAGACCAGGGAGACTAGGGAGACTAGGGAGACTAGGGAGACTAGGGAGACAAGAAAGACTAGGAAGACTAGGGAGATCAGGGAGACTAGGGAGACTAGGAAGACTAGGAAGACTAGGGAGACCAGGGCGACTAGGGCGACTAGGGAGACCAGAAACAATAGGAAGACTAGGGATAATGACAAAGGATTTTCTGTGTAAAAATATTTTAATTCTACAGGGTTACCCACAAAGGGATGAGGATGTGCCGCTGATGTTTTGCGCAATTTACCGTCGACAAATTCATTTTTGACTAATAACAGATAGTTCTTGGTCATCTGGAATAATGTTTGTAAAAGCTTTTCAAAAATGACACAGAGAAATTTAAAAATGGAGAACTTCACCAACTAAAAGTTTTTTTTACGATTTATTAAATACTTTAAATTCTTACATCATCGAAACCAAACGTTATAGAAAATTTATTAGTAATTGAATTTAAAGGGTAGAATGTGAAAAGACATTTTTTTGTTATTACAATTTATAGAATTTAAAGGTTAAATGAGTCAATTTCTTTAGATTCACCTTGAAGAATTCAGATGGTCTAAAGAACTCAAATATTTGATCTGGATAGACATATTTTATTCTGTTTAAAGGGATCAATACATTATCAGCGTTATTTCAAAAGGCTCTAAACCTGAACAGGTACATGGTTGATTTCCAATGGCGCCATTAAAGGGAGTGTCTGGTTAGACATGTTAGTTGAGCTGAGACTGCATTATTGTAGACAAAACAAATAGGATTTATTTAATACTTATGCGACGTTTTATTGTTCATATGTATTCAGCAAATTATCAAATTATTAGTTTCCTTGGAACAGGGATTGAATCGTGCTTAGAAATTCTTTAGCAGAGGGTCATCCGACTTAACGTTGTCAGTCCCTTTAACGGATTTCAATATTGGTTAATATAACTAATACAGTAGTCCTAACTTCCTAAGCCAATATTCAATCTCATCTGTTAGAAAAGAATATTTCGGATATTCGCTGATTCATCTTTTAATTTAGGAACGTTAAAGACACTGTCATTGGGATTTCAAGTGAGCCTCCATTTGAAGAAGAACATGTACGATTCCCAACAATATCTTTTGCACCTTTATGTGATAACAATAATTTAGAACATTTGGTTGTTAATCAATTATTGATGAGCCATGAGAAAATTAATTAGGTACTTTCTTGGAAGGTCTCTAGTCTCTACCACATCAGTTTGATAAGGTCTGTACATCTTGGTTTTCATAGGTCATCTGTTTATTTAAAACATATTCTAACATTGGCGTAATCTTTATGAAATATCCTATCTATGATTTATTTTTTCCTAGTTATGATTTGTTTTATATCTATACAATTTATGAAATCTGTGATTTTTTATTTATGAAGTAGTCTATCTGTTATTTGTTTTATCTATGAAATATTATATCTATGGTTTTTATCATCTATGCAATCTATATTTTGTTTAATCTATAAGATCTATCTAAAAAATCCTGTCTATGATTTCTTTTATCTATGAAATATCCTATCTTTCATTTGTGTTATCTATGAAATCACTGATTTATTTCATCTCTAAAATATTTCATCGTTGATTGTTTCATCTATGAAATATCCTATCTATATGAAATATAATAACTTTGATTATTTTATCTATGAAATATCGGAACTTTGATTGTTTTATCTATGAAATATCGTGACTCAGATTGTTTTTTTCTATGAAATAAAATAAATCTGCTGGATATTTTAGTGCTTCCATTAAAGTGGATTATGGTTAATTTATGTAGAACAAAGATTGGATCAAGTCCAAATCTATAACATCAGTCAAACTACCAGAAAATGGAGAATATAACTTAAAATTACAGGGTGTCCAGTGTTGACCAAAATTGACAATTGACAACTTCTGATAGGGTGTATCACAAAAAAATTATATTTAAAATCTGACAATATTCTTTAAGTTTCCAGTAACTTTGAAACCGTGAAAAGTACTTTCAATTTTTAAATTTAAATTCATAAATGCATGCTTCAACATATTGCAAAGATTAAAAACTTTCTTCATGTTGTCTTAAACTCTCATGTTTTGCGGGACACCCTGTATTTTTTCAAGCTTCTTGCTAAAATCAATCTCCGATTCTGAGGAATTGTAGAATTGTGTTGTCAGACCCGCAACACTATCGATATCTAAATATTTGATATTAAAATTTATAAACAAATTCTAGATTTCAATCATCTTCTTCAAAACTAGTACGGATGTAATGTGTTAGACATCCAACATCATTGAGAAATGATGATTGGCATATTTAAAGTGAAAAGAAGACAATTAGATAGTTTGATTATGAATACATGTATACGTCTCTTTGTAAGTATATTTTTGTTAACCATAAACAATGAGTACTCCGTTGTAAAGCCGTCTTTGACAAAGAATTCTACGACAGCCAAACCAAACATTTTCACTCCCCCTCCCCTCCCTCCGACAAAAGTATAAACATCTTCACGTGCATCAATTTCGCTTCAAATTCAGTTAAAAAACCCCTCAAAAATAGTTAATTACATTTAAAATCAATTGCCATTTTATTTCAGAAGTTTAAAAACGTCATTTTAGTACTATTCATAACCGAATTATATCCTTACACCCACGAATAGATCGTAAGAATTTTTTCATTATAATAAACAAGAATTTCATAATATGTAACTTTGTTAATTAAATGTAATTTTCAGAAACTATAGAGAATATCATTTATTATCGATTTCGGGTGATTGTTTTGAATGTGTAAATGTTCGGGAGCTTCGTGGTTAATCGGGATCATAAGTTTGGGGAACAAATACCCCTTTGGTTCAGTCCCTGCTGTTTTAAAGCTTCCCATTGTGAATTTCGAGATCAAATCCTTTCGTTGGTTCAACAACTTTGTTTAACTGGGTGTTTCTAGCAACACATGTAAAAACGACAGAGCCGATCGAATACAGAATTGTTGAAACAACTCGCAATGCCCATGGGAAGGTTTAAACATCAGTTTCAAATGCTCTACAGTGCAGGAACACATGATAAATCTTGCTCTAAAGAAACATCAAGAATTTCACAATTCAGCAAAATCAAATAGAATTTAAATGACAGATGATGTAAATATACAGGGTTTACCACAAAGAAAAGACTAAAAGGATTGAAAAGAAAGAGTAAAAGCTATAATGAAAAATATCTTGTTCACAATCCTTTAAACCTATTTATTTTTTCTACATAAAAAATAAATCTATATTTTTTATTTCTAAAGGGTGGTTGTTCATCGTCGAAAAATATAAAATGTAATGTAAACAATATATGTCTAAGTTTTCTTTTTCTTTTTTATAGAATAGAGGAAATATATTCCCACAACCTCTAAATTTTAGGTTTTAAATATTTTCTCCTGAACCATTTAATTTTGTATGTTTTTGTTAAATATTATAAATAATAATTACTTGCTAGCTTATTTAGAGAATTGCTATCTATTCCCGATAATAAATAAATGACAAGGTTAAGTAACGTAAATCTTTATTAATAAATACAATCTTCTTAGAAAGGGTTCCGATCAGTTCACAGATTGATAACAGCACAGCGGTTTCAAAAACTAAATAAACATAATGTTAGTGTATGTAGCAAATTTGAGCAATAACTTTGCTATATTAGCAATGTTGGCAGTTAAGCAATACATGCTTAACCCAACACAGGGTTAGACTCGTGTATTAGTAATGACGGCTAACCTAAGATTAGACTTCACTTATTGTTTATCAATAAAAGCAATAAATGTGCTTTTTGCTTAGCTTCTCAACAGTTTAAGTGAAAAGTATTTCTTTAGGACTCTGTAGACTATTTGTATTCAGTCTAAATAAATGTTAGGGAATTAAATAGCAGAATTTAGTGCAAACTGGTTTAAAGTTGTAAACAAACAGTAAATAAACAAACAGAATATGTAAAAAATATTGAGAATATTATTATTCAGAACCAAATCACGCATTTAATCAAGCTATTTATGGGATTGCTCTAACCTTACAAATTCGCTAAGGGACTGTTCTCAATTTACAAACCGCGTTCCAACAACATTTAACAAATTATTGAGAACCATTAAATAAATTACTACTTTTTGAAAATGTTTTAGAACTCGATAGCTGAACTATTTTTTAGAAGAAAGATGAATTTATTGAAATCTTATAAAAGAGTTAATTTATACTTTTAGCTAATATTTAATATTTAAAGTAAGCGCCAAATAAGTAAAGCTCCAAATAAGTAAAGCGCCAAATATGTAAAGCGCCAAATTAGTAAAGCTCCAAATAAGTAAAGCGCCAAATAAGTAAAGCTCCAAATAAGTAAAGCGCCAAATAAGTAATGTTCCAAGTATGTAAAGCTCCAAATAAGTAAAGCTCCAGGTAAGTAAAGCTCCAAACAAGTAAAGCACCAAAAAAGGAAAGCTCCAAATAAATAAAGCTCCAAGTAAGTAAAGCTCCAAAACAGTAAAGCGCCAAATAAGTAAAGTTCCAAATAAGTAAAGTTTGAAATAAGTAAAGTTCCATGTCACAATTTGAATTTTTCAATTCGAATGTAAAAATTTACAAGATTATTTTAAAAATTATAGTTATGATATTTAGAAAAGAAAACTTTTTTTCACCTTTTGGTATTTTCTTTCTTTTTAGAAAAGTTTTCTGCTAAGTTATTAGGGTTGACAGATAAGTACGAAGTTCAGTCATCTGTTTAATAGATCTGTCTCCTTCCATCATTGGACAGACCTCAATATCTCATCAGTCAAATATTTTTCAACATTTTTTAAGTTCTTGTTCATTTTGGATGAAAATAGTGTATATATTTCATAAGGAATTTAGTCAAACATATGAAATAAGCTTACGCTTAACATTATTACTGTTTAAAAATCTTTGCATATGATCAAGTTATCACTAATCCTTTTTTTTCTTTTTGAAAATCGATAAATTTATATTTCGGGTTTCTTTAGATGTAACGTTTAACCCTATTCCTGCTTGGGGGGGGGGGGGGTCAATTTGTCCCCCCCTGTAGTTATTTTTACATAACTCAAAAAGCATTGGTCTGAGGCTGTTGAAATTTTATGACTTTTCCATAATTAACCAAAGCCCTTCAATTAAGCTAAAACCGGGATTTTTTTCTAACTGCCTGAGCACTCAGACACACTGCCTAAAGGACTACTTTTTCCTGTAACAATCTAAATCTATGTTTTGACCAACTTTCCGTGTTAAGATTTTGACAACATTTAGCTTTTTGGAAAACCTATGACGAAAGGAAACGGATCGCACAAGTTTTGCAAATTTGCAAACCATTTGCAAACAACTCGTCAAAGAAAATTTGCACATTTTCAGTTTTTCTTAATTACTAACCAGGTTCTTTAAAATTTTGCAAACAATTTTGCAAAATGCCATGGTCAAAGGCATTTTAATCATATTTTATCATTTTTTGGACAATTTTTATTTTGCAAAAAAATTTCAATTTTTGCAAATTTGCTACTTTTTTTTGCAGATTTTATAAGTAAAGCACAAGAGCTTTCCAATGATTTATCATTTGTCATATTTGGACATCAACCATGGAATTTAGAGGGGAAGGGGGTCAATTAGCATATTCTGGATTCCAAGTACCCAAGAAGGGATAGGGTTAACTGATAGTTACACGAAATACACCATAAAGGTTTAACTTAATATTTCATATTTTCTTGTCAAATTTTTGTCAATATAATTTCATCCTATGCGATTGTTTATTGTAGCAAAAAATCCCATACTGTAACACACTAAACTAAGCTATTTGTGTAGGTTAAATAGGCCTATGATAGGCTAGTACAGAGGATTGGTCCAGTTCGAATTCAAATTGATAACCGTGGCCGTTATCATAGTTTATTTTTTTATATTTGAGAACTGGTATTTACACCTGCACATCTGTTAACGTCAAAAATAACTTTGTAAAAAATTAAAGATATCTTAAATTATCTATTAGATACTAGTGACACTACAATTTAATTTAGTATTTGAAAATTTTAAAAATCCATGACTATGACAAAAAGCATCAAATAGTGTCTATGCAACGATATTATTCAGAATTATGAGAGTTACAGAGATCGATTTTGAAAATAAAAAAACTTGTTTAATGGCAGCAAATATTGACAAGTAAATATTAAAAATTAAATACATGAAAAAGTACAAAGAACAAATATGTTATTGAAATATATCTTTTATCAAAGCAAATATACACTTCAAAAAATACAATAAAGTGATCAAATATGGAACACATGTAAGCAGAGTTTTTTGTTCTGATTATTTGTTTCCTTTTTCTATTGTGTGGTAGGGTCCACATGGTCCTTGTATAAGTGTATAAAACTAGTGGAAAAGTAAATAAAATATGCAGTTGTAATCATGAAGCATTTCATTACTATCCTCCTCCTTCCTTCTCTAGCATACAGTTCAATGGTAATATATAATATATTATATATTATTCTACAGTATGATCTACAGAAAATGTAACAGGCACTCCGGTATGCCGGTCCATTCGCCTGATCCAATCAGGGTTCAGCCATGTGTTTGTTGTTTTATAATAACCTAAATAATAAATTTTACATTGTTAATAATCATAATGATAATATTTAAAATAACCTAGATAATAAATTGTACATTGTTTATAATCATAATGATGATATCTATAATAACCTAAATAATAAATTAAATTGTACATTTTTAATAATCATAATGATAATATTTATAATAACCTAGATAATAAACTGTACATTGTTAATAATCATAATGATAATATTTATAATAACTTAGATAATAAATTGTACATTGTTAGTAATCATAATGATGATATTTATAATAACCTAGATAATAAATTGTACATTGTTAACCCTATTCCTGCTGGGGGGGGGGGTAGTTTTTTTTACATAACTCAAAAGTATTGGTCTGAGGCTGTTGAAATTTTCTGACTTTTCTTACATACCCCAAGCCCTCCCTTTAGGCCTAAAATCGGTCTTTAATCCTGAGTCCTCAGGCACACTGCCTGAATGACTGCTTTTTCCTGTAACAAACTAAATCTTTGTTTTGATCCACTTTCACTTGTCAGATTTTGATAAAATTTAGATTTTTGGAAAGCCTATGACATAAGGAAACGGATTGCACAAGTTTTGCGAAAAAAAATTGCAAAATTTTTGCAAACAACCTGTCAAAGGAAATTTGCACACTTTTAGTTTTTCTTGATTAAAAATCAGGTTATTTAAAATTTTGCAAACATTTTTGCATATTTGAAATGGCATGGTCAAATATTTTTCAAAAATGCATACTTTGTCATTTTTTGGAAGAATTTTTTTTGCAAACATTTTTACTATATAACTCGATTTTGCGATAAAAAATTCAAATTTTGCAAATTTGCAAATTTGTTTGCAGATTCTAAAGTAGAGCACAAGAGCTTTGCATATTTGGACATAAAACATGGAATTTACAGGGGGGGGGTCAAATTGACCCCCCCCCCCAGCATACCCTGGTTTTCAAGTACCCCAGCAGGGATAGGGCTAATGATCATAATGATGATATTTATAATAACCTAAATAATAAATTGTACATTGTTGATAATCATAAGGATGATATCTATAATAACCTAAATAATAAATTGTACACTTTTAATAACCCATCGCCAATATTAAGTAAATTGCATGTAAAACATAAATTCATATGAATTTAATCATAACTCTTTTAATTTAAAATCAATTAAAAAGTACAACAATGTTTTGAATTTCAAATGTGTAAATGCATAAGGTTGCTATTCTCATTTTTGTGCTTAAGATCAGAACTAGAGGAGTTGCGAGTTTACAAATTCGGACCTGAAATACCACATAAATTTGACTTCCTCCTTATGTCTCCAAAAGTTGCATTAGTCATTTCATAAGTTTTTGAAAACTCATTTGTAAAACACAAATTTTGAATAGTTTATCCATTAAAACTAATAATAATGTACAATAAACTTATGCAATAGATAAAAAAATCATAATAATATTTAAGCCTATTCCTGCTGGTGCCCCCCCTTCCTGTAGTTTTTTACATTACTCAAAAAGTATTGGTCTGAGACTATTGAAATTTTCTGACTTTTCCTGAATACCCAGAGGACCCCCTTTCAGCTTAAAACCGGGCTTTTATACTAACTGCCTAAGTCCTCAGGAACACTGCCTCAATGACTACTTTTTCCTGTAACAAACTAAATCTAGGTTTTACCCATTTTTAGTTGTCATTAATTACACATCAGGTTAATTTAAAATTTTGCAAATATGTTTGCATATTTAAAATGGCATGGTCAAGGGCTTTTTAAAATGTATATTTTATCATTTTTGGACATTTTTTTTGCAAACATTTTTACCATATAACTGGATTTAGCAAAATAATTCAATTTTTGCAAATATGCAATTTTATGATGTATCATTTCTCATATTTGGACATCAAACATGGGATGTAGAAGGGGGGGTCATTGACCCCCCCAGCGTATTTTGGTTTTCAAGTACCCCAGCAGGGATAGGGTAAACAATATTATTTATACAAAAAAAAAAGTTTTACCAAATCAATAAAAGGATTTTTTATTACTTTAGCTGGACCGAAAACACTCTGGATCTTCCGAAAGTGGTTCATTCGAGTCTCATGAATATAACCCAGAAGGTCTCTGTATTGATGGTATGTCTATCCATGCTATCTGTATAGCTGGATCTAACCTGGAAGGAAAGATGGCTGAAGTAATGGCAACCTGCATGAATCCAACCCAAGCAGCAGGTAGAGGAACGGGGAAAGGAAAGGGGAAAGGAAAGGGAAAAGGAAGTAAAGAAAAAAATCCCTCCTGTCCTACTTTTGGTGAGATTACTGAAAAGCTTGAAGACAAGTTTGGATATATTGGGTGCATGCTGCAGACCCTGGGATGGGTTGATGAGAACTATGAGCAAGTTAATGAAACCATTAATGAAGATATTGCCTCCCTGACTTTGTCTGCTGACCTATCTGAAGAGAGTATCCAAGACTGTATTGCTGATGAGTTTGATGATATTAGACAAAGCCGTGAAGCTAAACTTGTTGAAAGCTGTATTGAGAACTATTCTGAAGAAGAGATGGCTCTTCTCTCAAATATTGTTTCCGGAATTGCAGGATTCAAATGCTTCACCCAGGCCTTCGATGAGACCTGTAGATCATGGGTTGATTTCAACTTTGTTCAACCTCTTATCCAAACTCTTCTCATGGGACCGGGAAAGTAGAATTAATCTTTCAAAACTGTTTTTCATTTTATTTACAATTTTTCCAAGGGCAAATAAAATATAAGCAAATTTCTTGTGCAGAATTTATTTGGATTTATTTCAATTACCAATATATTTTTGATTTTGACAATACTTGAGTGACATTTTACATTTTAAAAGCTATCGAACAAAGTGCAAATATTATTGATGTAATCCTTAACCACCCTATATCTTTGCAACCCGAGGTTTTTGATCATAGATACTATGAATTCTGTTAGATCAAATTGTGTAAGTTTAAAATATCAAAGGTTTGTACCATCAGGCTGAAAAAAGATATAGGAATTAGAAAATTCAGTTCCTTTGAAGATTGGCATAGATATGTATACTTTAAAGAGCATATATATTTTCTAATTGTTAAAATACATTCGGATCAGCTTAGATATCATTGAAATTGTACGTTCTTAAAGGGACTGTAATCGTAATTTCAAGCGGTTTTCCATTAATATAGTGCATATCCGATTAATAATGATACCATTTAAAAACCTTCGCTTTATCCAGGATTTGGTAGATATGTTATATAGTGGTAAATTAAGTGCCAAGAAACACAGTAACCTCGAGTTTCCCGACAGAGTAAAGGTTTAAAGGATACCGTTGTGAATCGGATAGGTCTCTTTATAAATGGAAGGTCATTAAAATTATGCTTTAAGTTTTTATTTAATCCTTGTACAGTTTACAAAATATCAATATACAATAATATCAAGGACAGAATAGATAATCTCTGATATCTATAATTTTTCTTTTCATTCATTCAGAGTCAAAGTCTCAAATCCGCCGAAAACCGGTTTCAATTGAGCGCCGGCTTAAATCTTGAAACGTTGAATACAGTTCGAAGTGGAAGCAAACATTTCAATTCTTTAAATTTTAGGCCGAATTTAAAGAATTTCAGCCGAGGCTTAAATTTAAGCCACGGCTCAAATATGGTTGGTTCCACTTCAAATCATGTTCGTTGTTTCAAGATTTAAGCCGGCGCTATTGAAACCTGTTTTTGGCAGATTTTAGACTCGGCTCAAATTCATTAAATTTGGCCTCTGATTTAAACTGGTACATCACCAATTTTTCCTTTTGGTTGTGAAATCATAAAAGGTTGTTAATTCTTTAATTCTTTATAGACTTTTTGGACCAAACTTATATCCTCGTATATTAAAGATATACTATGCACATGCAGGTATTTATTAACTTGTTTAGAATGTCAAACTTGAGGACTTTGGGGAACCAGGCTGCAATGTTTAGACCAAAGATAATATTAATATATATGTTATATACTATGTGGCAAGAAGTTATCAATTTTGAGGTATAAGAATATGATGTTTTTAGCTTTCTTGCTACTATCTATTTAGCCCGGAGGTTTATACTTGCTTGCATATCTTTAAGATGGGCAAATAAACATAAAAATGATTGTTTTAAAACCATCGTTTTTGCCTTATGTTATTTTCTAGGGTAACAAATTTGCACATTTGATAAAAGCAAAATTCTACAGAATAAACTTTTTAAAACGTTTGAACCTAAAAATTTAGTTGCCAAAATAAGTATTTCGCCAATAAGGTCAACTTGTAATTATATGTTAAATCTCACAGCATATTTTGGAAGAATTTAAATTGTAATTTTTGAACTAAAAAAGCATGGTTCCCAGCAAGAAACGTCACTTTTACTGTTAAAGTTGAACACTTTTGAATTGACAAAATAAGTTCAAATCTGTCTTAAATACAATCTTTTTCAAACAAATCCCGAAAAGTCACAATAGATATATAAATAAAATTGAAGTTTAAATTTAAATCAGAGATCTGAGAGGAAGGTTTTAACTTATTTTTGTTGATTCAAAAGTTCTCAGATGTTGTGTCACAACAAATAAAGACGTCACTCTTTTTTATTTTTTTTGTTCTCATGAATAAAATTTAGATGGTTGCATAAAGAAATGTATTAAAAAATCTATTTAACAAAATAATGATCACCGTGAACATACTTATTGGTTGGCAAAAAGAACAAGTTTGTTTAACTTTTTTGAATTACAGTTATACTCCTTGGCAAGATGTTTCAGCCGAAGCAAGGAATATTTATGTAGTTCTCCATGATCAGCCTTCTTAAAGATGTCAGGGAGTTCTGTCATTCAGATAGACACAGTTTTGAGACAGATTCGGTTTAATATCTGTCTGTCTGTCTAGATATAGACAGATATTAAATTTAAAATGATGGTGATGGACCAAACTTCTGTAAAGAAGTAAAGAAAGTAGATGTTAGCTCTGGGTTGACCCTCGTCAGTTTTAACGATATAATAACCATCAAAATCGATAAAAGAAATGTGGAAAATCACAAGAAAAAAAACAAACAAAAAAGATTATTTAAAGGGAGTGACCGGCTATGTAAGTTAGTTGAACTGAGTATGCAGTGTTGTGGAAAACTTCTTTCGGATTCATTTGAGACATATTAAACTTTTTAAAGATCTGTAATTCCTGAGTTTAAGCGCAAATTCGACGTTCAAAACTCCTACTTTGGGGGTGGATACGTTTTCAGAATTAGGATTTTTTTAACCTTTGATATTTCAAATTTTGATTATTTGATCTACCAGTGGCCGAATTTAAAGAATTTGAGCGGCGGTTTAAATTTAAACCGCGGTTCAAATATGGTTGGTTCCACTGAAAATTGTATCAAATGTTTCAAGATTTAAGCCGGCGCTAAATTTAAACCTGGTTTTGGCGGATTTTGGCGGATTTAAACCGGGGCTCAAATTCTTTAAATTCCATCTCAGAGTTCATAGCTTGAAATATCTAAGGTCTACGACATGGGGCTACAAAGATATGGGGATTAGAAAATCTTTGTGTTTGTGCCTGAGACTCAATTCCTTTGATAATTTTTCTGAATCAACATATTTATGTGCAATGAATGTATTCTTGAAAATATTTTAAAATGCTGACTAGATTTCTTTGAATCGTAGGTTTTTAGATTAGAGATTATGATAATGAATATGTAGACACACAATGAATATTCAGTATACTTTTAATATCATTTCTATATTTAAACAAAACAAATTTAAACTAAATCATTGATATATCTAATACATGTGTGTTTATCTATATGTGTGAATTTATTTATATATATATATATATATATATATGTAATATGGAAAAGGTAGCTTTTTTCTTTAGAGATAAAAAACTATTGATTCAACGTTGATTTAAGAAAATGAAAAAAATATGGTTTTATAAAACAAACAAACTTTTAAAAACTACTATTATTCTTTTATTTTAATTTTAAAATGATTGACAAAAAACTGCCGATCCCTAGAATGCAATATAATATATATCTTTACTGAGTATTTTTGTTTAATAAATATCTGTGAAACAAAATATGTATAGATACATTAGATTTTATACTATACTGCTATTTCCTCGATAATATTTATTATCTCAATATTATTGCGATTTATAAATCAAAGTTCCAGAAATATTTTTATAGTTTACGTATGATTATCTAACTTATTTAATTGATTAAATAAAATTGAATATATCTTGAGAAACAGTCTGAACCAGAAAAGTTTAATATAGAAAGTTTGCCTAATAGCCATACTTAAATGTATTAGATAACGGTACAAAGCAAAGTATCTTTTTAAATCTGGTCGGTTTACAATTAGATCCAATTTTGTTCAACCTCACATATTGGCCCCAATTCAAAAATTTGCATCCCAAAAAATGTTGGTTTTTTTTGGAAACACGCTAATCCTTCACTTATTGTATGTAGAGCTGAAAACTTTCGAATAAGATATCCTTAATCCCAATTACTTAATCTGAGTATCCAATGGACACACTTTTGATTTTCTTCTTAAACTGTTCTTTTTTAGATATAGTAGAAAAAAATCAAAAACGTTTTTTTCAATTTAGAGAGTCTCTCCCTTTTCTGTATAACATCTTAAATGGCGCGCAAAATTTCAAATTTATCGGCATCATATATGCGACTCTGATTGGTTGAATTTCATACACTTTTCAGGATACAAGTACAAGATTAGGTTAGTCTCGATCCGAGATAAGAGAGTTACAGAGATTGATTAACACCTATGATATGCGATATTTTCCACAGCATGTTCTATTGTGTACAAGTACCGTACACGACCAATCAGGAGACATCTGTATTCAAGGATATTTAAGGATCCTTTGAATAGGAAATACAAAATCTTTAAAAATAGACAATATTCATAAACGTTGTGCTTTAAGTTTAAAATTGGAGTATTTCTTTAAAAGTTGTGAAACTTAACCCCTGAATGCATTAAGTGGCCGTAAGATGTCAGTCAAAAACATTTCATGGAACCGTAGCATGGCGTGCCAGGACACTTTAGGCCTGCTCAGCCTATCCAGGTAGAGTATCTTACTAATATTTAAGTAAAAAGTATGAATAATAAAATTTCATCACTTTTTAAGATTATATGTTTTTACTCGTAGGATGAAAAATTAATAAGCTAAACTAGAGAACTAATTCAAATGCATTAATAAGAAAGCATATNTTTATGTATAAAATGACAGTTTATGTACCTTTTATGTATAAAATGACAGTTTATGTCCCTTTTATGTATAAAATGACAGTTTACGTCCCTTTATATATGAATGACAGTTTATGTACCTTTTATGCATAAAGAACTTTGGGACATCGAACAATGTTTAAAAATGTCGTCTTGACAATATTTCAACGGGTTTTATACTATTTATACGGTATACCTAAATCTTAGTAATTGTAAAAATAAATGAATAGCCATGAAACAGTTTTAAAGATCTAATAATTATTCAATAAAAAAACTAAATATCTGGAGCACTCCATTATCAGTTAAGAAAACAACATTTTAGAAATTCTAACGATGTCTCCAGGTTCTGGGTTAAATTGTAAATAGATAGATACAACTTCATAATTGGTTGAATGGTCTGAACAACAGTGCTTAAGGTGCTGTACAATTGATACGAAATATTGTTTAGTTTTGTTATAGTTTTATTAGAATAATTATTAACCCTGAAAAGATTGGCCCCCCTCTCTCCTCTTTTTCTTTGGCTTTTGCG